CACTGCCCGATGTACAAGTGACAGTCTAAAGTGTTGGCTAAGTACCACCCGCCTGAAACATGAGCAAATCTTAGGAAAGCGCCCAGTGCAAATCCCAATTGTTGGGTTTTGCAATTTGCATCCCCAACCACATCAAACAACTAACCCCCCGGGTCCCTCCCATCAAACGCGTCTCCCAACTACTTCATGCTATTTGAGCCCTGTCCGACGGGACGAGCGGGCACCTCCGCGGGCGCCTCCGGATCGATTTCTCCGGAAAAGCCCGGCGTCGCTTCGCGGGGAACTCCCGCGCTGGTCTGGGTGTGGATTCCGCGTAGGGTCTACACACGGGCCACCCCGCTCGAGCTTGTCATGCCAGCAAACACGGAGGGGTCCACATCAATAGAAACAATCATGCGTCGTACGTGCATGTTTTAATATATATATATACATATATATATATATTTAATATTCTATAAATTGGGGTGGTGGCCCGGAATACTATATTGTATGAGAAAATATGAGAGATATTCCCCAATCCCCCGCAACACATGTTCCGACTCATGCATCGCTTGAACAGCTACAGCCATAAATTAGTTGCGGGTTGGGAGGGAAACGAAACACATGACCCATTCATGAGTCATACTGAACCATACCAGAAAAAGGCTACGAAGAAAAGCATGCATTGGCTGTACACACCTGCTTCAAACATGCCAAGACCCAAGAACTATGAGCGGCAAAACATCATATGGTCGTTGCATGATGTCGAGTTTGCGTGTGTCATGGGAAGTTGTTGCGGTTGAAAGAAGCAGAATCACCCAACAAGGATTTTGGCCTAATGGAGAGCGGCACGAATCGATGCAGTGGTTGTGTCATGAGGACTCTCCGAATCTCATACGCCAGAAGTTCATCTCCCACTGACTTCGACGCACCTGGCGAGCGATTCCGGCTCTCCAGAGCATGTGGGTTCAGCTGAGGTGATCTGAAAAAAGTAATAAAAAATATATATATATATATGTGTGTGTATGTATCTCAGCATCATGTGGAAGATCATGTGGGGCATTCGGGTGTCAGGCAGTCTCCGCTCAACCACTCCAGCACAGCCTGCATTTTGCTCTTCGTTCGTCCATCCAGTCTGTGCACCGTTTGCCACAAGATCTCCAAAAGACTGCAGTTCCAAATGCCCGAAGAAACACCAAAGTCTCAAGGCTTCGTTGTGTCGCCCTCTCTCTCGGGGGTGATTCTTCATGAGATTGGTGGTATGATCCAACCGTCCAAGCGATTCCTAGCATCGAACCTACCTGTTCTTGATCACGAAAAAATCTCCAGATCGAACCTCCAGATCACACTCCAGTTACGTCGCCACTGAAAATGGTGGCCAAAGGTGGTCTCCTTAAGCGTCCGCCGGCATGAGCCTGCGCTTGAGCCTCTTCTGCCAGCTGTTGGGCTTGCCAATAGGAGCGCCTCAAGTACCGATGGTGCGGAGGAAGAACACTCGGAGGCCATCTACTTCTGGAGTATACAGTGTACTAGGTCTGTCTCCAACAGTGGAGGGTGGCAACAGTACCACTTATCTGCTTTCGGATGCTGGGACACTTTAGGCCGACAGCTTGGTAGAAGCTAGGTCAAAAACACCTGGCCTGTAACAGTACCCCAGCACTCCATGTAGAATAGTAACAAATATATATATATATAAATATAGTAACAAACTCTCCACGTGATGAACAGGCTGCCAGAAATCCCATCCATCCAAAGCCTCCATAGGTTGTCTTGTCATATCTTGTCTGTTGGCATGACTTCATCCCAAAGAAAGCCAGCCAAAACCGGTCCTTCGCACTGGTAGGACACTGTGTGTCTCAATAGGACGACATCCAATAGGAGCGTCCTCCCAAGATCCATTCGCCCGAACAAACACCGGACCCTCCGGACGTCGGAACCCCTCCGAGTCTCAAAGACCCACCGTGCCGAGGGGCTGAAGGGCTTGACACCGAGTCTCAAAGACGTGACACCTCCTTCGACCAAACGAGGTGCGTTCGGACGCGGTGCGAAACAGGGCGAAACGAAGCTTCAAAAGTCAAACATGGCTGGCTGGTTGAGCAAAGATTGCACCGAATCGACGACTAAAGAGGTCAACCAGGCTCCGTGTGAAAGCGAGGTGCACTCTGCGGGGTCTTGGTGACACCTCCTGGGTGTGAGGGGCAACTTGGATGACCATTAGGAGCCGGAGTCAAGCTACTCTGGTGGGGCATGAGTTGGTGCCCCATCATCCCAAAACAAAGAAGAATGGGCTGAATGGATACTCCAGGATGTCCGGGGGCCCCCTGCCGAACGCCCAATGGCCAGCTTCTTTGAGGTCTATTTCATGTCCTTCTTTCAGAGGTCGAATCAAGGGGAAGGGTGGGTCCCCCTGGACCTGGTGCAACGGCCTTGTACAATGGCGACTTATTAAGCGACTGGTTGGTGGGCGCTCAGGGCCCTAGGTTGACACATTTGCAACAACAATCAATTTGATCTCACCCGCCTTGTGACCTCGTGACCGTGGTGCGAGAGCTTTCCAAAGAAAAACACAAACAAACAGCCTGCATACAATTGTATATATATAAATATATGTATTTGAAGCTTGAACCAAAAGGATCCAAAAGGTGCAATTATTGATACTGACAGACTTGAAAGCGACCATTGGTGATATATAAGTGATGATGGTCACATGATCACCTCACCTGCACATCCTGCGCATGGCAGTGGACTTAGGTCCAACACGGCTTTCATCATCCACCGGTGTTGCTTCAGAAATCGACGAACCGTGCGGTGATGCTGCTTTGCATCTATCAACTCTCGAACTGCTTTGCAAGTAACTGCGGCAACAGGCAGCTGCAAACAAAACACATTTTATTACATTGGCACATGTTGGCACTCACGTAAACATGGTTGAAGACTCATAAATAGACACACCTCGAGCAACCAACTGCCTCTTCCCGGGCCCACCGCCGTAACCCAAACGGCCACCAACGGTTGGACGCGCAGGCGTTGAACTCTGCCTCCTCACCTGACGCCAACCCGGACGGTCGGCCCATCGAGGCCCCGGGCTGTCGGAGTTGGGAGACCTCCAACTGCAAATGCTGCATGTGGAGCATGGCCTGAGCTCAGCCAGGCCACCAATTGCCCCAAATCTCTCGATTTCGTTCGATGGCTCTATTTTTGGATGGAAAGGTGAGACCTTCTCGGAAACCACGAACCAAGTGGCCAAATACGGTGCTTCCTAGGTCTGAAGAAGTTCGCATGCGCGTGCTACTTCTTCGCCCTTGAAGCTCGCCCGCTTCGGCATGCCGAGACCCCTCGAAGCGGGGTCGAAGCCCAGCCTCCGATCCAGAATAGGAGGAAACACCTAGCGGAGTCGGGCCCAAGGCGATGTGGCTCGAAGCCCAGCGACCGATGATCCAAAAAAGGAATATAATGAAGATATATGAAGATGAATATGGAACGGGCAACCAGGAAATGACCGTAAGTCCTTCCCCTTGTCTGCCTAGCTCTTGCCATGCCCCAAAAAATCTGATATGATAATATATATATATATATTATATATGATATAGTTTTTCTTTAATCTCGGTTGAACATTCTATATATTAATCGGTCCACTTGAGAATTCCCATAGAGCAATTTGATGCAATCGGAGGCCGCGTTTAGTCACAACACTGTGACGATTCAAGTTGCACTTGTGAAGGGAGGCAAAGGGCATTCTGTAACACACAATAAACTTTAGTATGAGACTATGAGATAGTATGAGTGTCATTTTAAGTGACTCCGCCACTTTCCCTGGTGGAGAAACCAACTCCCCGAAGAGGTTAGGCAGGTTACACCGACTTCTTCTGGGTGGAGGACAATGTTACTGGCAATGTTTATATGTTATAATTGATATAATTAATGTATACAGTATTATACAGTACTATGAATGATCATGAAAGATCAATTCGTGGAATTTCGGGGTAGGAGCCATCCACATCCGTCCCCGGCATTCAGCAAATGGAGAGCCCTACCAGGGATACCCGTGATCTGAATGGTCTGGGAGCTCGAGCTCGAGCTAGGGGTGGTGCATCCAGTCGTGCACCTGTGGATGGCCGTCACCTCGGAGGAGATCCCACGGATCAACTCCTTCAGCCGCACGGCTCTGACATCCTTTTTCTCCACGTCGAGGAGAAGCGCGAGTCGCTCGCCCGGCTCTCCGCGCGGAACGCCGGCTCTCGCGCGAGCGGAACACCTCGCGCGAGTCGCTACGCCCAGGCGGAACCGGACCGCCGGGGCACCGTTATATGCAACGCCTTAGCCAATTCGGCTGATCTGGTGCATCCGCGAAAATGTATATCATTGTATATATCTATACATCTGATCCGCAGCAGGGCTGTGGGGTGGGTGGGGCCCGGGCTTTTTGAAGCAATACAAAGAGCGCAAAGGATCCCCTCCTGAAGTCCCCTGATCTTGGGAGTGCTTCTTGGGGGAAGCGCTTAATGCGACTTAAAGATATTACAGTCTGTGTGCAAATCGGTTGCATGCCCAACCTGGCAATCAATCTCGAACACTTGAGCTGGGCACTTTTTGGTGAATGTCAGTCATGTCGTCAAATCCCATGAGCTAAAGGGACTCCTGTAGGAAGATCCCATCTATGGCCACAAAATGCAGCTTGGGTCGCTCCCTCTTGGGCCCAAAAATATGACTCTAGCTCACCTCAGCTTGGAGGGCCGCCCCTTGGACACACCTAAAGCCTTGGACACAAAGGCATCGCCTGGCCGATGTTTTATGGTCTTCAAATATGTTTCTCCGAGCAGAAGGCCCTGCGAGATCAGGTGAAGGATCTGGCAAAACCATGGGACCCGAACAAAGCACGAGGAGGTGATACACTGCTACACTTGTTTCCCCAATCCTCGTGCACTCTCAGATGTTCCAAGACTATCAGACTCATCTGCTCAAAGACAAACCCAGACTAAACACTCACGCTGCGAACGCTGCTCCAACCGGGCTCCAACCGGCTAGCGGCCCTTGCGGCCCTTCCCAGGGCCTTTGGCCCTAGGTGCCATGGTGGGAGGCCCAGTCCTTGGAACGAAGCCGAACCGAATGGGGACGCAAAGGGCCCACCCTCGGAGTCCCAAGGTCAAAGCTGTCCACAAAACGATGTCTCTGGCATTGTGCAGCGGAAAATGGCCTGCATATACATCAGGCACTGGTTACGTTTGATCCGTCAGGACAGCAAATCTGCCGTGATGGGGGTGGAGCTCAGGGAGATCCGGAACAATCAAACTTCCGTTCCGAGGACGAAGAAATCTGTGAAGACTGGGGCAAAGACCTAGTGCCTCCGTGAGCCTGAGGCTTCAACCTTCTGGTGCTCTCCCGGCTCTACCAATTCACAGTCCCTGAGAGTTGAAGGCTTTAAGACGTGTCGGTCCATGAACTACCTCTTCTGGGTCCAAAATCAACTCCAAAACCTTAACGGTTCCGCCAACTTCACTCGCTTCACTCTTCTTTCTTCCCAGGTTTCCTGCTTACATCACACCGGCCAGTCCGTACCGTACCGGTACCTGTCACTACCGTGCTCCCTCAAAAGCTTCACCCAGGCGCGAGGATCGCATCTGCTTCACCTCCTCCATCTGACGTTGAAGCTGCTGGAGCTGTGCTTCCAAGTCCTGAACCGTTTGGATGTTCCTGGATTGGACTTGGAAGTGCTGGTTCAAGCAATCCAGTCACGTAACGACTTTCAAGCAATCTAGGCGCCCAGGAATTGCTCCTGGATGTGTTGTTCTTTTGTGTCTACTTTTGTTTTTCTTCGGGGCGATCGAAAGATGCCCAGAGATAGAGCGCTGGGAGGGAATCAAAGACACATTGGAAAAAAAGGGCAGAATCATTCTGAATGAGATTGAGTGATGCCAAATGCCAAAATAGGGTTCAGCTTTAATACCAAGTCGTGCTGCATCTTTGGAAACTGGAGGGTTGCTATGATGTCATATAATATTTCTCATGTACTTTCTCATGTTGGGGCATGTGAGGATGGTTGCAGGTACGTCCCAGAGCCTTTCAACTTTCTGGGTGCTTTCTCCATCTTTCTCGGAACCACGCTTCGCTCTACGAGAAAGCACGCCGCTCCTGCACACGTTGCTCCTCCTTCCGGTCTGGGACCACAGCGGGGCTCGTGTCCTTCAATCAGGGAGGGTGTGTCATTGAAAACAAACGTCTCATTGGAGAAGTTGCTCGTGATATATGTAGCGAAGAGCTGGGAAACCAAGCAAAAGGCTCCACCTGGCATGGTCGTAGGGGTGTGGGGCTGGGGTGTGGAGTGTGTGGCGATCTTGGGCATTTTCACCTTCCACTGAAAGGAAGATTCCAAAACAAACCCATGAAGACCAGGATGAAGAATCCTGAACTCGATTCGCATTAGACGTCCATCTTCTTCTCTCAGCGCCATGCGGGTTCCGGCTTCTCGCTCCAACTCCCAACTCCGGGAGTCCTGGACCACATCCGCCGTGGTCTCATGATATCTTCGCATCAGCAGCGCGTGAGCGCGATAGACCTTCAACATGGGCCCTCGAATGGTTAACGTCTGCCCATCAGCTCCATCTTGTACCGGGTCGAAGTGCACGTAGGTGCCCGTCGCTTTGCCTTGTTCACAAGAAAACGCGGCACTTGCTGGAAAGTCGGCTCGCAGCATCTGAAGAGTGCCAGTTCAAGCTCGTTGTGGCCAATTGCCTATATAGAGGTCTGAATCACGTACAGTATCCTGGGGAGGTTGTGGATTTGTAACCATGTGTCTGGAGGGGGAAGTAGGTAGTGGCGCGCTTTTCTCTTACGTCCAACCAAAACATCTGGGTTCACATATGTTCATTGCAGTCATCTCTTTGTCTGAAACCAAGAGCACACCCCCCAAGAAAAAAACAGAACAGTTGCTCTTGAGAGACGATTGTGGTGCAACAAATGCAAATCATATATAGAGTAAGAGTGAAAACTAAGGAACAACCAAGGCGTTGCGGCAGCATAGGGCCGGTGGTCACTCCAAGGGACGGATCCGTTGCACGTCTTCACCTCCTGAGATTTGGTAGACGAGTCAATCCAGCCGATCGAGCGAAAGTTCCCAGGAGCTCCAAGTACAGTGGTTTCAGAGTATGGCACTGGCACCCCAAGAGGTCTTTTTGGATGGGGGTCCACATAAACCACCTTTGGGAGAGACCTTTTGGAATCTTTTGGATAGCTTTGGAGGGTCCAAACACCTTCTGAATCGTGAGGTTCTTCTCCTGGAGCTGAGCCTGTGGCAAAGGTATGTTACTGTGATGAGAAGAAATTACAGTCGATTTGTAAAGAGACATCAGGTCCTTTTACCGGTTGGCAGCACAAACTAGATTTACCTGTAGGATCGTCTTTACCCAGAATCAATGGAAAAGGTCGTTGGGTGCGGGATGGGAGGGCATCTTAATCTCATAATGCACACACGCACGTGTATATATATATATATATACACATACAAATTACAAATAAAACAAATGATTATGCATGTAGGTTTCTTACCGTAATGCAAATGAAATGCCTACATATGTTCTCTCCGAAAAATAACAATGGAAGTGGAAAACCACCCGTTTGTAGAGGAAAATGGTCATCACAGGGGCAATTGTCCACTTCCATGATTGTTTCGGGGAGTGTGCAGTCTCAGTGACTGGGTCAGCGCAAACAAAATTTTATAAGCCTGAATCTGGGGTACCTGAGGTTAAGTTGAAAAACATCTATAAAATCAATCTCACAAGATAACACGTATTCATTGTAGAATCGAGCTCGCAACATCAAACAAATATGCTCCAGCAAATCTATATTGTGTGAAAAATGGCACTACAGTAACTCTTTCTGGAATCGAGTGCACACCCTCAGCAACCATAAAACCTCGTAAATTAAATCATGGTTTCAACTAGATGTTTAGACCAGCATGTCTTGAGCTTGCTTTGAAGCCATGTCGGAAGGCATGTCTGGGGGAGCGTCTTCCCGGCGCACGTTCATGTACTTTCTGGTTACTATTGTTTGGTTATGGGTTATCGTTACATAGGTTATAGTTCAAACGCAGTTGTCTTTGTCAGAGCATCCTATGGAGTCAACAATGCCGCCTTCAACTGTGCGAACCGTGCATGTATGTGCCATGCCATGTATGCAGCAAACGCCAAATGGTGGCTCTTGGGCAAACTCTTGGGCTTACATGGGATAAAGTATAAAGAATGGCCAGGCAACACTTGGAAAGAATAAAATAACATCCTGCTGCTGGAGAAACACACCCTTCTATGGTGCTATCCTTGCTTGGTGAGTGCGTCATAGCTTTCCCGGAACATACCAATTGTGCACACCTATTGTCAAATCTTACGGAACATAATGCGTGTTGCCATGGAACATGTATAGTGTAAAATATATATGATCGAAACATCCAAGACTAGTCGTTTTTAAGAGTGTATCAACACATGTTTAGTTTGTGCATATTCTAAATGTTGGTTATGTATTTCACAAATTTAGGTGATAGGTTAATCAAGTCTTGGCAGAATGTTGTCAACCAGTCCGGGCTGTGGCCAATGAGACTGCGTCTGGGACCCTGATGTAGCCCACCCGATAAGCCCTCCCCCCAAAAACGAATCCTTGGTGGGTTCCTTCCTGCCCCACAAGTGGCTGCATGCCTGACACCTCGTGAAAGGTCCGCGGAATAATGGTTTAAGGCATGAAATATACAATCTCTAAAACAAAAAAAACTAGCCAAAAATGGTCAAACATGTGGATATCTATAACTATGTTTGGATACACTGTTTTTCTCTAAAAGCGAGGGTGGCTAAAAACGCTACAAAATGCTACAAACTATCAAATACAAAAGTTGTTGGTTGGGCGACAGTTTTTAGGCAGCTGTGTTTTTTTGAACATGGTAGTATTTTGGGGTACCTGAGCCCCTGATTTACAAAGGTCGTCCGCAGGGGGATTAATAATATAATACATACCTATAGGACCCAATTAGATCTTTGATGATGTTTCGATGGCCTTGCTAAAGGCATTTCTTCAGCGAAAAAATAGCGTAAATTTAAGGAACGCATGCCATTTCAAGGGTTGAAAACCAGTGCATAAAAAGAGGATCAAACACGCCGGGCGTGTTTTGGCCTTCCCACTTGTACACCTTGTCAAAACAAAACAGAACCGGGTAGTTTGGAGTTTGGAATTCTATAATTGTCACCTTCAGGTACTTGAGTACTTCGTGCCGTTCCGAAAGGCCAGGCGGGCGTTTGCATGTCGATACTACGGTTGGGAGCGACGATGAGATGGCCGCAATATCAACCAAGTTGCGATCAGGGAGTCAACAAAAAGACGTGTCCAATCTCCCAGCTTGATCAAGATTGGACCAAACAGGGTGAACAGTTTTTGTCTTAAGTTGCTTTCCCGCCATTTGTAGGATCCTTTTTCCGGGAATGTTTTAGAAGCAGAAGGGGCAGCAAAAAGATAAGGAGAAAGGAACAAGAGGGAGTGAAAGGAAGGGACAGGGAGAGGACGAGAGCGAGAAGGAGCAAAGAGGAGGAGGGGAGAGGGTGGCTTACAAAAGGTATTCTACATTTGAATGGCCCCTTCCTCCGCAAACCCTGGGGGGCTCACACTATACCCACCAGAAAAATAACAAAACTAAACATAAATGTTCTTTCTACCAGAAGCCATCAAAAGGAGACCAACAGAAAAAGCAAAACATAAGCTGGACAAGCAACAAACAAAATAGCAAGAACAAACACAAAGGCAAAGCAAGAGAGCAAAAACAGAAGCAACAGCAGAAGTAACAGCAAAAGCAAAAGTACACACAAAAGCAAGACAAAAATGTAGAAGCAAAAAGCAACAAAAAAACACTACTGGAGACAAGAAACGCAAATGACCGGAAGAACAGTCGCGCACAAGATATGGTTACGACCAAGAATGTCACAGCTCACAACCGAGGGAATTCTATTGTTCCATATTCTGCTGGTCTTTTTGCGTAGATGTCGAGGCATCCGACATGCCGGAAGACTTCCGACGAGGACAGGCTGCTCGGGTGGGAGTTTCTGCAACAATGCATCACGGTCGTCTCTGTCAGTCTTGTGAGGTAGTTGCAACCCTGTGGATGCGTGTATCTGCTGGGAACTGTTCAAAACGATTCCACAGGCTGCTTTCCTGCCTAAGGATTGTTTTAAGGACTTTTTCCCTCACCCATTCCCGGAACTACAAACAGAAACTGCTGAGATTAAGCCGGGAGAGAGAGAGAGAGAGAGAGAAAGACTTCAACCGCCACCATTTGGGCTGCAAGATGCTGCAAGCCTGCCCCGGTGCAATCACGTTTCTCCAAGTCTCGCTTCCCGATCAACAGGCCCACCTTGTCACTGGGCAACTCGCAGGTGATGGTATACTCCGCCTCTAAGGCACCTGGTGCTGTTGCTTTCTTTACCTTGCCATTCGAGGACTTCAAAGCAATGTCTGGAAGCAGAAAGTGATTCCAAAAAGAAGATCTATTCAATATCAAGGCACTCTATGGCAAAGTTTGATGTCATACAGCATTTGTGTTTGGCCATTTTCAGTGGAGGCCCATCTCTGTGTCTTCAACTCTAAAAACTAGACCGAGATTGGGTGGAGTTGTGATCCCAAGAAGGGGCTCATCCCCGAGAAGGGTTCAGTTGAAGAGAACGGACACATCTAATGGGCTTCTTCCGCTCAAACACTGGAAGGTCGATCGCAAAAAGATTGGAACGCCCAACTCGTGAGATACATCTGTTGAACCAAAGGTCTTGGGATAATGAACAAATATATATACTGTATTATGTGTTGATGTCATCAGGGCGAGGTCAAACCAATCACCTCTCCTTGCCGATTGCGGCACGCTCCTCACAATTCCCACCTCGCGCAGGAACAACACCACACAGTTGGATTGTGCTTGGACACGTGTTTCCGAACTGACCCACCCAAAAACCGTTTCAATACACCGGGAGTATGTCCTTCATAGAACATCATAGAACTACTACTGCATTGGAAGTGATTCCTTTCATCCATCAAAAGCAATTAATTGCCTTTCATTCCCCTCGCCGGCTGTGGGGTCCCGCTTTTGATGTCGCGCGCGTTGCTTCACGCGCTTCCTCGCGGACCTGCCTGCGGGAAAGGTGCGAGCAGTGTCCACGAGCGCGGTCAAAAGGGAGGAGTCGACTTCGCCCCGATCAGGCGCCGTGACCGTCGTCCTCAACTTGAAGCTCAGAGTCGAAGCGAATTATTTGGATGGACTCAAGCTCTGTGGAAGTCTGGTGTTGAAAGAGCTTTGGTGTTTCTTTTCGACCAAGACAGAGAAAAGAAGCAAACTAAGGCAAATTCAAATTCATAAGTGAAAAAAACATGCGCTCAGCTGAGGAAAATAGGGTCGGGCCACGACAGGTTGGGGGAATGGACCTGGGAGGCACAAACGTTCTCAAATCTCAGACCAAAGACGGAAGACGCAAGCTGAAAGGCGCACTAGACATGGCCATTGGCTGCAACTGAAGTCGAACATCGCAAGCTGCAACTTTCAGGCAGCTTCCACTTCTAGTTTTGAGTTGCTCTTGACACTTGGCACGTTCCGAACGAACTGTCCGCATTTTTCTCGAGGCGGCCCGGCACCGACGAACTGAGGATTTCCCCGACGACGCGCTCACGACATCTCACGACGCTGGACATGTCGCTTCCAAGGCTAGGCCTAGCGGCTAGGCAGGGTGGCACTGGGTCAGGTCTTCATACAATTGAGGTTTCCGCACGTTGCTAGGCTGCTAGGCTAGGCAGTATACCCTCCTCTCTTCACAGAAATCCGATAGCTCAAAAAAAGGTGTCAGGAGTTGAGGAATACAACGCCCCCAAAACGAGGGACATCTCCAAACTGGATCCGAGATGATCTCCAAAATTGGGACTCCACTGGACCAGTTGCGGATTCCCAACACATGATGTTCGGCGCGCCCAAGTCTGTGCACCCAATTCCATGGTGGCCACACGGCTACCGAGGCTCAGCGAAGAAGGGGGAGGGATGGCCACACGCCCGCGGGGACCTGATGGCGTCACCGAATCCCGAAAAGGCCCGCAACCACCACCACGACTAGGCACCCTGCTATAGGCATGCCAAGAGGGTGTTATTTAGCCAAAAAAACCTTGCAAAAGGCAACAGTAGGACATTTTCACGCGGTGTCACTGGTCACACTGATGGAAATTGGAAGAGGTCAAAACCCTTCTCCGAAAACGTGAGTTTTTGTTGGCTTTGACTATAAAGATCAAGATATGCCTCTTGGATCCTCTTGGGGAGTATTGAGACCAATGAAGCTGTAGTGGATATACAGTTTGGTCGACCAAAGTAACTTCTTTAGGCATTAAGATCCGTCAGTTGCAAGGGACGCATTTGTTTCAGGACCTCTTCTCAGAACATCAAGGAGCCACCTATCCTCGAACTCTATTCTGCAAGAATGTTCAGACTATTGTATGACTGCATTTATGACTCTTGGTGTGAAGAACGTTTTGTATTCAACATGTGCACTTTCTCTTGTCCATACCCTTCGAAGAGTGGTGGACGTTCGTCCTCCAGTCCTCCCATGGAATTGGAAGCTGCTCTCCCCCACTACATGCTGTCCATGTCCACGGAGTGTTTCACCAACCACGACACAGCCTGAGCTTACCGAGCCACTTTCTCGGAATTTGTTGCACAAACTCTGCATACTTTCGGTGATTCATGAGTGAACACTTCGAGACCCAACAGGCTGTATGACCGATATTTTTGTACATATTCTTTCATTATATCATCCCCCTAAATGGAGAGGCATTAATACATTAATACTGAGGAATCAAGAGTATAATATAGTACTTGGTATAGTATATAATAATATATAATTACATTAGTATCAAATCGTATCAGTATCATTGAGTATCTATATGATTCTATATGATAGTCTATGGATGTCTATGGTAAAGCCTTGTCAAGCCCCTTGAAACGCCATTTCCTGTGCCTGGAGCTTCCCAGCGTCCTGCCCCTCCCGCCCCGCCTGGTGCTGGTGCTGCCGGTCCCCTCGGCGTCCGCTCCCGCTCCCGTTCCTCGTGGGCGTCGTAGCCGCGGGCGTCATGGCGCACATCGGCCCGGCCGAAGTTCAACTCGCCTGGTCGGCGGGTCGCCACCGCTGCTCGGGTGGAGGCCATCGCTACTACGGTCGCTACGCTCGGGTGGAGGGCTATCGCTATAAATGCAAGGAGTGGGAGCATGTGGGATCCCACTTTTGTGACCGAGCCGGGGGTTCTTTATTGGGGGATTGACGATCTCTTTGTCGACCCGTTTCGACCCGTGGGGACAGTGAAAACGTGACGTCATTGGATCACCCGGCAGCTGAAACCCGGCAAACGCGAAGCATTCTGCTGGTCACATGCGTGCTACTTGTCACCATGTTCCAAATGCCGATCGTAGTCAAAGGATTCAAATATAACGCTCAACCAGGATGTGGTTGAACACCGGTGGTCTGACACTCCAATACAGCACGCGGCCTGGAGAGCAGTGGATGGGATTTCCTGAGCGGTCAAAGCTCTTGATGGTGGACCAGTCGGTGTAGCCGGGGGTGCCGAACTGATCTTGAATGTGGCGGTTCACCATCTGCAAGGCCAAATGCAAACCTGCGCCGCATTTGAGGCCGTCCGACCATGGGGCGAATCAATGCTGACGGCTGACGGCTGACTCCCTCAATTTCCCTGGAAAAAGAAACCACTTCCCCAAAAAGGTTGCGCTGGTGACCACTTTTCCTGGGTCATTGAGACCCTAAAATGAATCGCGAAAGCTTCTCCATGGCGTCCTATCTTTCCTAACCTGTCCACACTCAAGGAAGAATGATGGACCCTCTTCGGACGTCGCGACCGTGGGTTCCAAGGGGCGCCCGCAACCACGGGGTGGGGCGAGGTCGTGAGACTCGGAACGGTCACAACGGTCTTAGCTCGATTCCACGAGCCCCTCGGGGCTCTGCCATTCTCCACCTCGGGGCTCTCCAATCAGCTTCACCTGCTGATGCCCTGAGGTGACGTTCGAATCAATCACCACCTGTCACGTGTGAGGTCGCTGGGAAGTCTGTGCAGTTATTTCTTCCAGATTTGGCATGATTTAGCATTGGCTCATTTGTACAGGAAAACCGTCTTCCAGACTGGTACTTTGGGCATTATTGAATGTTTTTGAGAAGAAGTTAGGACCGGATGGAGATGTCAGTTGCTCGGCTTATATATGAAAAAAACAACAGCATGAACAAGTCTCGCTGCCTTATGCCATGGATGGGCTTACGCTTACCTTTCACCTTTCACCAACAAACTTCACCACGCAGCTGTGAATCCGATGGCTTCCACACTTCGGGGATTCTCACGTTTGACTGTTGGGGGCTGTTGGACCAAGTGCTGGCGGCCGCATCCATGTGGCACATGGGCGCTGGGTGGTCTTCCGGAATCTTTGGGGTGGTTCCCACACGCCTGACTCAAAGCCTTATAGCCTGACTCAAGCAAAAAGCGCCACGAAGGTGTGCCCAACACAGTGATGCTACAACGATGCTTCTCCCGGCGCCCGCTTCGGCGGTTCGGAAACCTCGCACCTTGCAGGCGGATTCCTCCCGGATCGCGCGGGCGTTGTTTCCCTTCGGGCCGATGATCGCGGAGGACATCTGCTTGGTGACCACGCAGCGAAGCACATAGGTGTTGGGGTCCGGACCCAGAAACTCGGCCTCGGTGCCTGTGCGGAGTGCCCCCAATTCCCCTCTCACCAGTGTTCCCCTTTGGAATACATCATTTCAAAGAGATAGGCTCAGCTACCCTCTGGTGTCTTGATTTTGATGGTAGATGCATGATGAGATGGGAGTTGTGGACACACTTGGAAACACATGAGATGGAACTTTGAAATTTGCACAGTCACTTCACAAGTCCCAAATCACTAGTGGATAGTATACATCAAACAATTCAGGGAACCGACCAAAGAATATTTGGACGCGACCAAAACCACGTCTCAGCACACTCTATGGCCTGGGTTCAGCTTCTCCTTCTTACCAAACTCGATGATGTCCTGGACGCCAAGACCGGGAGGCCAAAGACCCTATCTCGAAAGCCTCTCACTCGCCTTGAGGTCCTGGTTGAAAACCGGAGTTTCACTGGAGAAGCCACGGAGAACAAATCAAGTTTAAAGTGCACCTGTTGATTTTCTTGGTCAACCAATCAACCCCAACAACGGACTATCCAGGCAGGGATGCTTTCAAAAAGCTTGGAGATAAGGTTTGGAGGAACCAACGATAGGGGTCAAATGCTACGGAAGCGCATGATGGCAGGATACTAGTGCAACAAAACATTATCTGGTGGATTCTCCAACTTCTGTCGGCATAGTGGAAAAACAAACAGCAATTTCGTTCTTGACAAATACCCTAAGTGATCCAAATTCTTACAAGTCTGAACTTTGTCGAGATTTCAGCATCTTAAGGTGAACACGGATCTGGGCATCGTTGTTGTTTAAAGGATTGCTCTAAGCTCCAACGCTTGAAACAACAAAATAGATCTAACAACCACAACAAGCTTAATGGCTGGGTGAAAGGCTCAAGATCCAAAAGGTTTGCCTCCCAGTTCTGTTGGTGTTATTTTTTGTTGGCCGCGCGTCGGCAATGAGATGATCCAGCACCCCAAGCATGGCTTCAGCATTGTCGCCCAGGATGACCAGCACGCGAAAGCGAGTACCTCTCCGCCAGGAATCACGTGGGCCAAGCAAGTGCGGTTCATCGGACCCCTGTACCAGGTCTGACTAGCAATCTTACCACCCCCACCAGGATGACAACTTTTCGTCTATACAAACAACTGGCGTCCACATGTGTCCACCTCCATGATTGTTTCAGGGAGTGCCCACTGGGGTATTTGGACCCTTCAGGCACCTTTAACACCGAGTTGGTCACCTGTTTCCCATCTCTTATCTCTTGAGCCTAGGCCAAATTGAAGATCAAACTGAAAGGTGCCTTTTAGATCGGCCAAAAAGGTCGGCGTCAGAAGATCCCTCAACCTGGTGTCTCAAAAGGCGTACTCCAAAAATAGTGACTCAACCCCAAATGGATGGAAATGATTCAAAGTCTCTTTGAACATGTCAATGGCTCATGTGACAATGTTTTTCAATGTGTTTGATGGAACCGAATGGGAGAAGGATGTGATGTGGCCGGCTGAGTGACATGGGAGACCAGCTGGTGAGTGAGGATGGGCATCTTTGGGAAAACAACACCTCCTGTTTCATGACGGGTGACAGCCCAATGATTGGATGGAATTGAGCGACAAACATACTAGCGCATAGGTTTCCATCAAAGAAAACTAAAACGACTATATATGGACTTTGGTAGGCGTTCCAGGCACCATGATTCATATTGTTGGAATGACATGCCGTGAGCCCAAAAATGCACGATTGGCCATCACGGTCACGGTCGACTTGCAGTGCATTCCCGCCCCACGCCCACAAAGAAACGCCATCCAGGGCCTGGGAAATACTCATCTCGACCGCTGATGATGATTCTGCAGCCCGTTTCGTCCTGCAATTGGTCCTGCGTCCACATGCCAAACATATGCCTCGTGGCAAAAGACCGACCTGCAGGGCCACTGCAACCTACACAGCTTTTTCATCCAAATTCATCCAGGCAAGAGACCCCAAACAGTGTGTGTGAGGTCTAGAGGTGTAGCAGAAGAAAGTCTAGAGATCTAGACGCATTGGGGTCCAGAAAGGTGATGGTGGTGATGAAGGTGGGGATCGTGGTGATGGTGGCGGTGGTGGTGGGTGAGTGAGTGTGACTGTGAGTGTGGGTGGGAGTGAGAGTGGGAGTGAGAGTGAGGGTGGGAGAGTGAGAGAGTGAGAGTGTGAGAGCGTGAGAGAGTGAGAGTGTGAGAGTGTGAGAGAGTGAGAGTGTGAGAGTGTGAGAGAGTGAGAGTGTGAGAGTGTGAGAGTGTGAGTGAGTGTGAGTGAGTGTGAGTGTGAGTGTGAGTGTGCGTGTGCGTGTGCGTGTGAGTGTGAGTGTGAGTGTGCGTGAGTGAGTGTGCGTGAGTGAGTGAGTGAGTGAGTGAGAGAGCACAAAGTGCTTCGCCTGCCACGAAATCTGCACTTCGAGGTTGAGTGCTGCGCTTGCCACGAAATCTGCACTTCAAGGTTCACAAAGTGCTGCACCTGCCACGAAATCTGCACTTCGAGGTTCACAAAGTGCTGTACCCGCCACGAAATCTGCACTTCAAGGCTTCAAGGCCCACAAAGTGCCGCTCCTACCACGAAATCCGCCAAGTATTGTACCTGCCACAAAGTCTGCACTTCGAGGTTCACAAAGTGCTAGGCCTGCCACGAAATCTGCACTTCGAGGTTCACAAAGTGCTGTACCTGCCGCGAAATCTGCACTTCGAGGTTCACAAAGTGCTGTGCCTGCCGCGAAATCTGCACTTCGAGGTTTACAAAGTGCTGTGCCTGCTACGAAATCTGCAAACGAGCCACATGTTAAGAAGTCACGATTCACTGTACCTGTCACGAAATCAGAGCGCCTCGAAGATCACCACCATGTCCAAAGTGCTGCGCCGGCCACGAAATCTGCATTTCCAAGTAAAGCCGCTCCGATCCCTTGCACCTGTCACGAAAAGTCGACTGTGGACTGTGGACCACGAGGTTTCCCTTGCGATTGCCACGAAAAGTGACCACCATGTCCGCAAATGCGCACGGCACCACAACGAGAGCGCAGTCGCGACAAGCACCCGCACCAGCCCACCAGATTCTGCGAGCCTGCGCAGTCCAAATGCACTTCGAGGATTTCGAGAGGCATGAATGTACTGTAAATAGCAGCGAACTAGCCGGACACGCCCGCGCAACACCTCGATTAGACCATTATACCGTAAGAACCCCTAGTGTGTCCACACTGTTTGGGGAAACATGGTATAGAAACATAGCGATTCCAACAGCTTCACAACAACTTCACAAGCACAACGGTCTGCACTGGAGTGAGCGAAGCCATCGAGCCAACTACGGTCTTTGAAGGGAAGTGGACTCGGCAAAGAAAGCAAGTTGCACAAGGAAAGGCAGGATGGCCGGACTCCCAGAATACATGGATCCACCTCAAACAGCATCTTTTGCTCGTTGGGTTTCACATGGTTTCACCACCATTCAGAGTGAGAGAGTCATTGTATGATACATCACCAACTGTTTGTTTGTCTCCTTTCGGCTGCCACCCTTGCCCAGCATGCGAGCGATGAGCTCATTGGGGCACAACGCCTCGCATCGTGCGATCAACTTGGTGGTATTATATACATTCAGCAGGCCTCTCCCTTCTCTTTGTGTTCGAGGCCATTACTATTAGGTTGAAGGCCATGGGCCATTACTATTAGGTTGGAGGCCATTGCTATTAGGAGGCCATCGCTAATAGCTTGGAGGCCATTGCTATTATAGTATAGCGTAACAATCTTATGTGTGTTTGGTCTTTCACGCTGCTCCGGAGTCCGTATGAGCAAGCAGGCCTCTGGGTGATAGACCACTGCACCACAACACCAAAAGAAACAAAGGTTCGAGGCTAAGCACATGTGAAGAGATGTGAAAAGGAAAAAACAAAAAACAACATCCGTGGTCGATGGTGGACCTGCATGTGATGTCTCTCTTCACTCGATCTCCCGACATCATGGCATGCTCACACTCCAGCTCTTCAAGCTTTTGGGTTTCTGGCCCACTTCACATCATGATGGCTAGTGGTGACCACTATCAAAACCACTCAAAAGCTGTGAAACACTCCCGGATGCTAGGCCAAGGCCGGAAAGGCTCCAAATACTCGCTGAGCGATCGGTTGAAACGAAGCGGACCGAGCCCAAACGAAACACCACTGTTGACCATCTGAAAGAGGTGACCGGGACATTAACAAAAAGAACAAAGACTGGTGCCTAAGTAAAGAGTGTTTTTTTGTTATATACAGTAGATCAAAAGGATTCACAAGGTACATTACTGGTACATTTATAACACGACATGCACATTCATCAGTTCTCTTGCAGAAAAAATATAACAGGGTTCAACTTATAAATATATATATATATAATGTTCCTTGATCCTTGCTATTGCAGGTCATTGCCTATGAACTCCTATAAGCGCAAGCCCATGGCTTTCTGACCCCTTGGCTTTCTGCTTGGAGCCATGCATCCACCCGCCCCGCCACCCATCGATCTCCAGTCGGTCTCCGCCTTGAAGGCGAAACGCCTGGAACCGCCCTTCCCGGCCGCATCCCCACCCATGGCTGCAAGGACCTTCAACGGAACCGTTTCTGTTCGAATGGTTCGAGTGAGCCCTGCTTGGTTCGGTGAAGCCAGAAGCTCTTTTTGATATGCTGAAGTGGTTCTGTTAATATATGTCATATGAACAGCCATATGAACATATATGTATATACTATGAACTGTAATTGGCCGGATGAACGGTGATGCACTCATCATCTCTTTCCCCCGATGTGTGGAAGCCGTCGACCTTGTCGACCTTGTTGCACGCGATTTGAGTCGTGGTCTTCTTTGAAAGGACCTTGCTGCTTGGTCCAACTCCTTGGTCCACCTTCGTCCAAAGGAGGCCACCCTCTGGCCTAGCTTCGAGCCAGGCAAGGTGCCGGCAGGGCGGCCCACATTGACTTTCCCTCTGTGCAGGATTTCTAGG